TTGGGGTTCCGGGTTTAATGTCGATGCTGTCATTGGGTTAGGAGGTGAAGGTAAATGCAATTTGTTTTGGTCAGGTTTTAGTTTAATGTTGCCGTTTTCTTAAGAGTTAAGGAAAACGCATTTAGTTATGAGGACAGACTATCGTAGTAACTTCAACGCTGCTTTGGTCGTCATCTTTAATACTATACGTGATTTGGTAGCGTCCGTAGCAGCTTCATCACAGTACCAATCAGGTGTTTAACTTAGCATAATGATTCTAAGTCTTTGGGTCCCTCACAGACCTCTCACAAATGACGTTATTAGGGGCAGGGAAGTTAAAAGTTATATATACATGCACTAGAGGGTAATAACACATGTGGTGCCTTTTAAACACATCAGGACACACACGTTCCTTGAATCTAGGTTAGGTTAGGTTACGTTAGGTTAGGTACTGTGGTAATTTCACTTTACAACCGAAAAATAAACTGCAGCTGACACATAAATAAACCGACCAAAAACTGTGGAGGGTCAATAAGAGACAAGTGGCGCTTAGGTAACAACACCTGACCAAGATGACTGATTACCTGCTTTAGTAATGACGAGACTTACCTGGCTAACACCTGTCGGGGTTACCTCACAGGGACATCACTCATCCAGCCAGTCAATCGCGAATATATATAAACGCTGCATACTCCTGAAGGCTCTCACAATTCCTCCTCCTTGTGTACTGACAGCGAGTGATATACAAAACACATTAACACCAACTGTCCAATACTCGTCCACTCCTTTACTCGGTTTAAACATCACTACGGCAATATCGTTCACGTAATATACTCAATTTCACAAACAATTCCTCTAGCCCAAAAGGTGATACACAGTGTTCGAGTGAGGAAATACCCAACACTTGTCCAGCGTGTTGTCAAACGTTGGCTGGGTCACACTAGTACTGGCCGACCTTCAAGTGACGAACCAAACTGGCGGGCAGACGTGTCGGGTTTGTTTACAAAACCATATGGTTCAGGTCACGTGGCTGAGTAAGATCTGAAGTGTCTGTGTGTGATTTTTGTTACGTCTTTGTCTTTATCAATTAAAGCTTTATGATAATATGTTAAATAGGAGAATAATTAATTAACTAACCTGTGATTATCGTAACAATATTAAACAAATGAACTTGAGCGTAACGAACACACTAAACAATTAAATGGCATTTGGATCAGGGGAAAATAAGGACCTCATCCTCCGAATACGAGGGTTACCATCCACACTTGAGGATGCAGGCCGTCCTGTGACATTCCTATGGATACCCAGTCATGTCGGTATAAGAACATAAGAACATAAGAATGGAGGAAACTGCAGCGGGCCTATTGGCCCATACTGGGCAGTCCCGTTTACACCCAACCCCTATTGCTCATATAAGCATCCAACCTATGTTTGAAGCTATTCAGCGTATTCGAGTTAATGATGATATTTGGTAACTTGTTCCACTCATCCACTACTCTGTTTCCAAACCAGTGTTTACCTATTTCCCGCCTAAATCTAAATTTGTCTAATTTAAAACCATTGTTACGAGTTCGCTCCTGGTTGGATAGTTTGTGTACCTTTGTAATGTCCCCTTTGTTTAGCCCTGCCTTCCATTTATACACTTATACACTTATACACCTCGAACACTTTTACAGCTCAGGACCCAAATTCGCCGCAAACAGAGAGAAGTTCGGGAAGCAGCCATCCCCCTGTACTTCCCGCCCACCAGGTACGATGTCCTCCGTAAACTTCCTGACCTCTCGTATGTCTACGGGAAAGGGTCGCGGAAAGGGGACGTGATTGCTGCCCGTATCATCATTGGGTATGAGTTTGCTTGGGAGATTGGTATCCCCGCATCCCCTGAGCAACGCTCTTGTGCATTATGCAGATGACCCGACAGCCGCACCCTTACCCACTACCTCCTAAGATGTCCCCACACACAACGCTTCCGTGACGCCTGCTGGACCACCACTCCACGACCCCCTGATGGAGACACGATGATCCTCCCCATACTGGCCAGATATTATGTAAATAACATTGATTATGTCTTAAAGGAATATCCTTCCTTCCTTAGGCTTTAGTAAGCCCCTTTATAATATTTATACTGTATATACTTGTGACACTTGCCAGATGCTTCTGGTGTTATTGTACAGGAGTACCTAGTGACAGCACTAGGATCCCGCTTCCTCTATCAAGGAATAAACAATTGAAATTGAAAAAAATGAAACAATTAAACAAACACAACAACGACAATAACACTGAAAACGGTAAACAACCTTAACGGACAACATCAACACGAAGCATAAAAACAAGTAAAGAACGACATTTCACACAACTCCAAACACAAGTCATCGGGGCACAAATGCAGTTGCGAATGAGTTACCCTCTATGTGCAGAACTTATCAAATAATTTATTTGAAATACAATACTGTGAAACATTCAATGCCATAATATCCTGACCACGGGGGTTAGTTATACAGACCCTTTGTGAACTGTAATCTTTTTGTGCTACCGCTCACAGGATGAGTATGGGGTGCACAATAAACTAGGCGCCGTGACAAAATTAAAATAAAATGCCAACACCACTACCACCACCTTCAACAACAACACTAACAACAACTACTACAACAATAATAATAACACTACCAGCACCACTATCAACAATAACAACAACTACAACAATACCACCAACAACAACAACATCAACAACTATCGTTAAGAGGGGAGGAATATTATTGGAACAACAAATAAAAACATTCCACAATTCACCCTGGAAAACCTTACCTCTTTATAAGCGTCAGTCGTGTCGATAAATCACGATAAATAGTCAATAAATTACATCTCTGGTCATTTATTTTTCTCAAGGACTTCGTTATATCCTCGTAATTTTCCTCCCCACGTCACCAAACGTTCCAGTATTTTAATTTTACGCCATTATTGATAAGAAGAATATTAATGTACACGTTTATGATAGCATATTCAGTATCAATTAAACCAATGCATTAATTCCATTACGATACAGAGATATGATCCGCCTTAATGCCCCTAAACGCTATTCAAAGCTGAAATTAAATTCCAAAACGCTGAATTAGACCCAAATGCATCTTTCCGCTCGTGCTATTAAACTTTCCAATATTTGTTCACCATTTATAAATTTTCCATGCATTGTTAAAACCATTCAACAAAACGCTAGTAAGTATAGTCGAATTCATATATCTTGCAGTGGTGTATATTTTGTATAATGAAAAACAATTATGTGGACGCGCCAGGTTAAATGAGGATTAGTTAATGGATACACCGCTGGCAACTGATACGTTATAAAAGGTTTCACTAGACGGTTGTTTCTGATTATACGAACCAACAATTAATCCATTAATAGTACTTAACGTCATTTAATGCTCTTTAAGACTGTTATTATCTGCTTTATGTGGTTTATTTTGACTGTGTTTACTGATTGACTGACTCACTAACTCGCTGACTTTACTTGCTGAGAGACTTGTTTATTGCCTCCCCTCTTCTTTTGATCTCTTTACTCTTCTCTTGTCTGTATCTTTGTCTCTTTATCTTTCTTTTCCAAACTTTCTCTCTCTCCCGTTTCATAATCTTCATTTAGACAGGCAAAGACAGACAGACAGACATAAAGAGAGAGAGAGAGAGAGAGAGAGAGAGAGAGAGAGAGAGAGCACCCACCTGTAGTCTAACAGTTTGTACCGTGTGATTTTACCGTCTCGCTGGCCGGGGTGAGTGAAGGGCCGCCACCTGCTGCCTGGGTTTATGTGGATTCATCTGGATTTATGACGTCGATTTATTACACACGAACGTCTCTCTCTCCCTGTCTTATTCTCTCTCTGACCTCCCCCCTATCACCCTACCTCCCTATCACCCTACCTCCCCGTCTCCACCTCCTCGGTCTGCTCACCCACTTGGCCTGGATTCTTAAATATTCTTACGTTATTTTCTGTTTTTCCTTCCCGTCGCTGTTCCTGGAAATGTTCATACACTCCTAATGGCTCTCTTTAGGCCGCCGCGCCATCATAGCTGCCCAGGAATGGTTTGGCGGAAATTACAATGAGATTCTGCTGTAACTAGATGTGTTCTCTTACCCCAGATTAAAAAAGATTAAAAGAATGTGTGTTTATATGTACGAGTCGAGACAAATATCCGGATTCATATAAAAAAAAATCTCTTAAGTAAATAGTGAACCCGGAATTAGGGTTACTTAAACGTATCTGTTTAGTCGATTGATTAATTACGATTAATCATAACTTAAAGTACATCATGGTAATTTCTATTCAGTTAGTAAACATACCTTTTAGCTTCCAAGAGCTGCAGACATTTTCAGTGGCGTTTAGTGTCCATACTGGCTGAGAGGCGGGTCGTGTGAGGGACAGTGTCTTCCTCAGTCAGTCAGCAGGACAGGACCAGAGTACTCCAGGTTACAAAGGGAACACTGTCGACCATACAGCCGCCCTCGGCAGTGTGGTGAAGATTGACGGGCGTCACACCTTGCTCAGAGACTCCTACCTGTCCCAGGACACACCTAAGACCAGGTGTACCAACCCCCAGCCAACAGCCATCATAGTGTTGGTACTCCTGGTTGTCCCTGGGATGCCTAACACTTATTTTAGAGGCTGGCCACCCTTATCAGCCCTGAGTAAGCACCTCTTCTAAAAGGTCCCTTAGTGGATATACCCGCAGTGTTGACCCCAGACTGACAGCAACACTATGGCTTAATGTGTCAATGAGCGTCCTGCTGGTCCAACAATAACCGGCTGGGCTCAGGGAGGTGTTCTTGAGTGTTTTAAGAACATTACAAGAACGACAGTCCAAATCATCATTGTTCAATCAAGCGATGGTCCAGAGGCACAGCAGGTAGTCTGTACTGACCTGACCTGACCTGACCTAACCTAACCTAACCTAACCTAACCTAACCTAACCTAACCTAACCTAACCTAACCTGCTACAAATTCACACAGGACCACTAAATAAAACACTGACACTACAGATAATATATATATTTATATTTTATATTCATATATGTATAATTGTCTTTATAATATAAGATGGTACAGCATCAGCAGCAAACAACAGCCCCTGCAGTAGTCTCTAGCTCAATACGGAAGATTACATGCACTGAATAATGATCTTCCTTTGTGAAGACATTTTTTTGGAATTTGAAAAAAAAAGTTTCTATAATTTTCTAATGTAAAAATTGTAAAAAAAAAAAAGAAATCTGATTCTCTTGGTGTTTAGATTCTCTGAGACGATTCTTTAAGTGGTAAACTCTTATTAAATGATTACCTGTTGATTGACAAACTCTCTTTACCTGTTGATTTACAACCATACCTGTCGACTTACAACCTTTCATTACCAGTCGACTCACAACCACACCTGTCGACTTACACCCTTTCATTACCTGTCGGCTTACAACCTTTCATTACCTGTCGACTCACAACCACACCTGTCGACTAACAACCTTTCATTACCTGTCGACTCACAACCACACCTGTCGACTGTCGACTTACAACCTTTCATTACCTGTCGACTCACAACCACACCTGTCGACTAACAACCTTTCATTACCTATCGACTAACAACCTTTCATTACCTGACTCACAACCACACCTGTCGACTTACAACCTTTTCATTACCTGTCGACTCACAGCCACACCTGTCGACTAACAACCTTCATTACCTGTCGACTAACAACCTTTCATTACCTCTCGACTCACAACCACACCTGTCGACTTCAACCTTTCATTACCTGTCGACTCCACAACCACACCTGTCGACTTACAACCCCATTACCTGTCGACTTACCCCATCATTACCTGTCGACTTACAACCCATCATTACCTGTCGACTTACAACCCATCATTACCTGTCGACTTACAACCCATCATTACCTGTCGACTTACAACCCATCATTACCTGTCGACTTACAACCCATCATTACCTGTCGACTTACAACCCATCATTACCTGTCGACTTACAACCCATCATTACCTGTCGACTTACAACCCATCATTACCTGTCGACTTACAACCCATCATTACCTGTCGACTTACAACCCATCATTCCCTATAAACTTGACCGAATTATGAGAACCACATCACTAGGTAAACAAAAACTAAATATTGATTCGTAGACGTGAAGCTGCTCCTCAGACTACAGCCCTCATCAGCAGGTAAAGGTTCAATCTACAGGTAAAGGTGAGGGTAATTAGGCACACGAGCGTCATTAATTAAAAAAAAGAACAAGATTATGTACAATTCCTTTGGCATCAACTTAAGAGTAAAGTATTATGTGTGTTTGTATGTGTGTGTGGTGCATAGTTTACAACACCTGTATTTACATACCTGAAACAACACCAATTAACTTGTTTGGTTATGTAGTATATGTCAGGTGTGTTGGTACTTCTGACTGAGGCTTCAATTCATCTCAAACTGTAATCGTTATTATTTTTCTATGTCATCTGACCACCCGAAGTCTTACCTGGAATCTCTAACTCTTCATTAACATTCAAAATGATCAAACAATCAATATCCTTATATGTTTAATGAGATGAATTTATAACACATGTTGAGTTATGTACAGTGTTACACCCAGTGTGTAATATATATATATATATATATATATATATATATATATATATATATATATATATATATATATATATATATATATATATATATATATATATATATATATATATATATATATATAAACTTGATATCAGGGTTAATCAGTTGAATTCCTCTTTGGGCACTGGGTCTTGTTGAAGGCTGACGACCCACCCGTTCAGAACCTTCTTCAGACAGTGCCAAGAACCTGCCTGGTATCCTCAACGATGACAGACACTTTATATGTTGATGACGGGAGAAGCTCCCTTGTATGTAATGTGATAACAAGTAACTAACATTGTAAAGATGCTGTTTGACTTATCTATATCAAACACGAAACAATCAGAGGAACGTGCAACTCCTCGACACGCTTCATCCCCCAAAAGTGATGACAGGAAGTGTACATTCATCTTTTCACACACACACATGGCGGAGACTGACTCAGACAACACTCCTGGGTTGTTCCATAAAAAAAACATCAACACAACTTAAAAGGTTCGTGCTGGACTGAGCAACACACGCCGTCGTACATCTCCTTCTGTGTTATCAAGTGGATGAGGTATAAGACTATTTTGTGCTCTGGTAATGAAGGAATAATGATGATGACGTTTACAGTGTGAGAAAGTCTATATTGGCCTTCACACACTGCCCAGTCAGGTGGTCGACAGCTGATGCCTTCACCTCCGTGTCGCCAAACTTCATGTGGACTGTTATCTCCCTTCGTGTGGTGGCTGGGTTCTGTCGGTGGTCTGTGGTCGATCCCAAGTCCAGGTGGAGTGTTCCTACCTTCTCCACGCCTGCCTCCGTCACAAACTGTACAGGAACAAGATGTTGAGAACACTACATAGGGCCGTAGCGACACTCACAGGCGGATAAATAGTTTAAAGTGAACGTAGACGACAATGAGCTTGTATAGAAACTCAACCTGTGGCGGAAGTAGCATCAGTGAATGCTTATCTTTGAGGCTCAGTGTATACATATTCAAATGACACAACATTAGATCATACAGAGGAGGTGGAGGAGGAGAAGAAACGAAAGAGGAGGAGGAAAATAAGAAGCGAAGAAGAGTGGAGGAGAAAGGGAAAAGGGGGAGGAGAATGGAAGAGAAGTATAGGAGTCGGTACAGAGTAGGAGAAGGATAATGAGGAGTAAAAGAGGAAGAGAAAGCAGGTAAGTGAAGGTCGGTATGTAAGGCTATGATGGGTCACCTTGGCGTCGTGTCGTTGGGTAGCATACAGGTGAAGGATGACTGTGGTCTGTGCAGGTGTGGCGGGGGTGTAGGACCTCACCACCACATCCCCCACAGCCACACTCTCGTCCACCACCACGAAGCGATCCAACACATCAGCACACCACACCGACCCGGCCGCCTCAACCCTCTTGTCGGGTGGGTGGACTCCTCTCTGGTATCGGTTGAGGACCCCGACGCCGTAGGTGAGACGAGAGCGCCTGACGGTCACCACACCAGGGTCAAGGCCGAACTGAACAGCGCCTCGGAGGATGGCCAGACCCATACCCTGGAGATCGCAGTTAAAAGTCATATTAGTGGAGTGATTTAAGAACGGGGACTATGTCTCTTTCACACACACACACACACACACCAATTATCTCTCTCTCTCTCTCTCTCTCTCTCTCTCTCTCTCTCTCTCTCACCTGAGGGATGATGACGTTGACTCTGTGGCCGAAGGTGTCCCGTATGTGTTTCTGCAGGAGCTCTGACTCAGCGAAGCCCCCCACCAGGAACATGTACTGTAGTGGCCCCACCTCAGGCGTCGACAACACCGCCTCGATCGCCTGTCAATGGTTGTTATAATGTATCACTGTGCCTGACGTCTTTGACCCCTTGAGTACTATAGCTTAACCCCTTGAGTACTATAGTTTAACCCATTGAGTACGATAACATAACTCTTTGAGTACTTTAGGTTATCTCCTTGAGTAAAATAACCCCAACCCCTTGAGTACTATAGCTTAACCCCTTGAGTATTATAGTTTAACCCCTTGAGTACTATAGCTTAACCCCTGAGTACTATCGCTTAACCCCTTGAGTACTATAGCTTAACCCCTGAGTACTATAGCTTAACCCCTGAGTACTATAGTTTAACCCCTTTAGTGCGATAACCTACCCCCTTGAATACTATAGTTTAACCCCTTAAGTACATTAACGTAACCCTTTGAGTACTATAGCTTAACCCCTTGAGTACGATAACTTAACCTCTTGAGTACTATAGCTTAGTCCCTTGAGTACTATAGCTTAACCCTTTGAGCACTATAGCTTAGCCCCTTTAGTACTATAGCTTAGCCCCTTTAGTACTATAGCTTAACCCCTTGAGTACTACTGCATAACCCTTTGAGCACTATAACTTAGCCCATTTAGTTACTTTAGTACTATAGCTTAACCCCTTGAGTACGATAACCTAACCGCTTGAGTACTATAGCTTAACCCCTGAGAACTATAGCTTAACCCCTTTACTACGATAACTTAACTGCTTAAATACGATAGCTTAACCCCTTGAGTATGATAACGTAACCCCTTGAGTACTGTAGCTTAGCCCCTTGAGTACGATAACTTAACCTCTTGAGTACGATGACTTAACCTCTTGAGTACGATGACTTAACCTCTTGAGTACGATGACATCTTTTTCAAGGAAATAGGCCATCATACTTGAAGTGTTCAGTCAACGCGCTCAAGGGGTTGTCATTGTACTCAAAGGATTAAGTCATCGTACTCAATGGACTAAGGCCAAGTTCTAAGTTAGTAAATAGTCATCAACAATTTAAAGTTAAGGCATACCTTGTTTTTGTTATTACCCTTATCACCAAACTCTCTCTCTCTCTCTCTCTCTCTCTCTCTACCTTACCTGGGTAATGTTTGAGAGTGTGGGCAGGAAGAGATGTCTCATAGTCTCCTGTTCGACCCTTAACATGCCCTGGGCCGACCATCTCACGCCCAGGTGTTGCTGTTTCTTAATTGCCCACTCCACCTGCCGGCCACACATAATACACCTTCATTACCTGACTATTTCTACCGTTGGATCACCTGAAGATTAGCTCCCCCCCCTTGTTATACATGATGATTAAACACACTTATACTGTCTGGGGGAGGTTAGGTTAGGTTAGGTTAGGTTAGGTTAGGTTAGGTTAGAATATTTAATCAGGTGAAATAATCGGTGAGGTGGGGTAATCTTCAGGATCCTTATCGTAATTATCGTAATTAAATACAAATATAATTACTAGATACTATATAAAGTACATAATTTATATTAATATTTTTATGCCATATTTTCATAACCAAAACAAAAGTAAATGAAAAATAAAAGAACAATAATAATTTTTCCATTTTTTGTTTACATTAAACCTAATATTGTTGACCAAAGTTAACTACGACAAATAAAACAAATAAGTATGTTAAATTTTCTCACAGGGAATATTTTAATATGAAAACCTCCAAACAATTGTATAAAGTTTGATTTTTCTGTATAAGGAACATTTTCTTTGTTTTAAATGGAATTACATTTATTTCTGTCTCCCGTAAGTGATGTGAAAAGAGCTCTCCCTGGATGCTGTCATAACCCCGGCTAGAGGGAAAGATAAAGAACACCGAATATATCTTTGGAAATCTATTATTATTATTTCTTAACTCACATCTTTGCCCTTAAATTTGCGGTAGAGATCGATGAAAGAAAACGGCAGGGCAATATTCAAGGGGCTACTCCTGTAGGGTGAGGCGTTCCTCTTGCGGGACTCAAAGGCTATCATGAGGTCAACAAACGCTGCTGGTCGCTGCTGTCTAAACGTGGCGAGAAAATCTGTACCGAAGATGGTCTCCAGGAACCTCTCAAACTCACTATCAACGCCTGAAAATAATAATAATAATAATAATAATACTTATACTAATACTAATACTAATAACAATAATAATAATAATAATAATAATAATAATAATAATAATAATAATAAAATACAACGATACTCAACACTGATTTAATATTTCCAATGTCAGAAGAAAAAATAGTTATGAATTTCAAGTGTTTGATAATAATTTAAGGAGTATTGGCCACCTAGAGACGAGATAACCTTCCCTACCACTAACAAACATAGGTGGTGTACACTGAAGGGTTGTCTGAGCTTATTAAAGTGTCCACAACTCACACATCATAACTACAACATTGGTAAAGGACTCAAGTATAAGCTCTGTTTATCTCTTGTTTACTGGATGACTTATAAACTCTGAGCTAATGATCGACCTCAGATGACCTTGTTGTGGCTCCCTCAAGTAGGGGTTGTTCACTGGCCCTTACGAACTACAAGGTGTTAGAAAAGTACCTGTGTACCTGTCATAATTAACAATATAGGTGTTTCTTGTTATACCTGTATTCTTATAAAACCTTGTTCTTTCATTCCCAATTTGTGCTGCAGGTAGAACAAAATATATGATAATGAACGTGTGACAAAGATCAATTACAGTATATTATTAATGATTACATTAACCTAACCAAACCTAACCTAACCTGAAGGTGAAACTGAAGGAGGAGGCACTTACCAATAGAGCCGTGAGGTCCTCCAGTGGCTTTGTGCAGCTCCTTCAGGTGTCCGGTAGTCCTGTCCGTCATCTGGTGTACCGTGATGTCCACTGTACCACCGCCACAGTCCACCACAGCATATACTGTGTCTGTAAGATGTGGTTAGGTTAGGTTAGGTTATTAAGAGTCCATATGAAGAGGTAAGAGGAGGAAGAAGAGGAGGTGAGAGGAGGTGGAAGAGGTGAGAGGAGGTGAGAGGAGGAGGAAGAGAAGGTGAGAGGAGGAGGAAGAGGAGGTGAGAGGCGGAAGAGGAGGTGAGAGGAGGAGGAAGAGGAGGTGAGAGGAGGAAGAGGAGGGAGGTGAGAGGGAGGTGAGGAGGGGAAGGAGAGGTGAGAGAGGAGAGAAGAGGAGGGAGGGGAGAGAAGAGGAGGGTGAGAGGGAGGGGGAAGAGGTCAGGAGGGAGGAGGGGGGGAGGAGGAAGAGGAGGTGAGAGGAGGAAGAAGAGGAGGTGAGAGGAGGAAGAGGAGGTGAGAGGAGGGGGGAGAAGAGGTGAGAGGAGGAAGAGGAGGTGAGAGGAGGAAGACGAGGAGGTGAGAGCAAAAAATAGAGGAAGAGAAAAGAGAGAGATGGACAGGGCCATCTGGTCACTGGGCCGCCCACGAGTAGGGTGGGCGGCTTGGTGTGGGCGGGAACAGGGCGTATTGTTACAACACACAGGTAAACATACACAAGTAAACAACACAGGTAAACAATAGACTTAAACAACACAGGTAAACAACAGAAGTAAACAAGCACATGTAAACACACACACACAGGTAAACAAATACACATGAACACACAGGTAAACACACAGGTAAACACATACAAGTAAACACACAGGTAAAATAAAGTCAATAATTACATAAACAAGTTAGCATATAAACAGTATAGCCAGAACCCACAAACAAAACATGCCTCACCAACCATAAACCTAAGCTTATATATATATTAGTATTAAACCCAGTCTGTAAAACAAAGATTAAAAATAAAACCAAATGAAAGAGAAGAAAGATTACCTCCACCACACTAAATAAAGCGAATAATAATCTTCAAAATAAAATAATAAATAAGAATAAACTGAGGATATAAAAACGAGTCTAAGAAGTGCTCATTAAAGTGCTAAAGTTAGTATATACAGTGAGAGTAAAAGTGTCTGTAGGTATAAAGTGGCTACTACTACTACTACTACTACTACTGCTACGACTACTACTACTGCTACTACTACTACTACTCCGCTTCAAGTTACGAGTCAACATTATCAGCCAGGTACGCTTAGTAAGTGGTTTACGCTACACTTAGCATCTACAGCTGTGTATGTGGAGTGGGCGGCTTTGGCATATAATATCTGTGCAGGTGAGTGAGTGAGTAACACCTTCTCCTCCACCAAACAAACTAACTCAGCCAACTAATGAGTAACTTAATATTGGCGCAGGCAGGTGAGTGAGTGAGTGAGGCAGTCAATGATTGGTCAACACTAATACCTTCCTGCAGCCAATCAGCAACAGTTTCCACGCTCCGGTACGGCAGTGAGATGAGCTCCTCTGTAACAAGACTCCCAAGGGGTCATACAGCTCTAGGTCAAAGGTCATTCGACATCATATTACATAACATTACAGGTCAACGAACAACATTATTACAGGTACAGGTTACAGTTACCGGGTTACAGGTAGGTTACAGGTACAGATTATAGGTACAAGTTATGGGTAGGTTATAGGTACAGGTATAATTAAAATATAGACACAGGTACAGGTTTATGAAAGGTTCAAGCACAGGTACAGGTGCACCTTCAGCTGTACTCGCCTGTGTGCTACGTGCCATAACCTGTCATCTACTATATACAGTTGACAGCACTTCATGACATAACAACAAAGACACTTGTGATGAATAATGTGTCCATAGAACTGCAATAACTGTGATGGATCCATGAATTATAGAGTTCAATCTCTCTCTTTCTTTCTTTCTCTGTCTGTCTGCCTGCCTGTATGTCTGTCTGTCTGTCTGTCTGTCTGTCTTAAATGAATATATACACACGCAGTACCACCTGGTAAATTAATTAGTCATATATACAATAAAACGGCCCTCTGTACTCAGGTAAGGCAGGTCAAATGAGAACAGATACCAGGTAAGACATACCTCTATCTAGCTCAGGTAAGGCAGGTACCGGGGTGGAATCCGAGATACCGAGGGAATCTCTATTGAAGGAGTGTCTTGGGGCGCGCATCTCCGGGGGGCGTTCTGGCAGCAGCTGGTGACGACGCAGACGACGGCAGTAGATGGCAGCAGCTTCAGGTTCTAGGGCTATCAGGAGCTGCTCTGGTCTGCTGCTCGACCCCATACCAGCCTGGGGGGGAGAGGTGACCATCAGTGGAGGAGGAATATTGTAAGTGAGGGATAAGGAAGTTTTGATCACCTGAAGAATAGACACTCCAGCGTATTACATCTAACCTAACCTAACCTCATGAGGCGTCAACACACCTGGTAGGCGGCTGTCCTCATGAACTGCTTGGCGGGGTGACTCCAGATGGCGGGGACCGTGATGACCCACCGAACGTCCTCCTCCAGCACGGCCACGCCTGCCTGGTCCGTCAGTTCCTTAAGGGCGTGGTTGCGGAAGTACCCGAGGGCGTGGCTGAAGATCTGTAGCGCTGGCACCTTCTTCCCGTTGGCAGCCTGCAGGAGTGTGTCACGACTCAGTGTCTGCAAGAGGGAGACGGCGTGAGGTTGAGAGAGAGAGAAACAAATAAAACTTGTGCATATATTAGTTACACACACACACACACACACACACACACACACACACACACACACACACAGGAAGTCTCACGCATAAGTTGTCTTCCTATTGAGTTCCGCTGGTTTAGACGTAAGGGAGGGGGCAGGGGTGGTCAGCAACCTCTCACAATGCATTGACCGTGTGTGTGTGTGTGTGTGTATGTGTGTGTGTGTCATGACCAGGTGTGTGTTTGTCATGACCAGGTGTGGGTGTGTGTGTGTGTGTCATGACCAGGTGTGTGTGTGTGTGTGTGTGTGTGTGTCATGACCAGGTGTGGGTGTGTGTGTGTGTGTCATGACCAGGTGTGTGTGTGTGTGTGTGTGTGTCGACCAGGTGTGGGTGTGTGTGTGTGTGTGTCATGACCAGGTGTGGGTGTGTGTGTGTGTGTGTCATGACCAGGTGTGGGTGTGTGTGTGTGTGGTCGTAAGCTTTTAAAATTAAGTCTTATGTATATATGTATATACAGTATTTATATAATTGGTAATGTATCCGAAAAGAATTGTCTTTCTGTCTGTCTGTCTGTCTGTCTGTCTGTCTGTCTGTCTGTTAGTAAGTAAATAAACTCCTCTCGTCTACCAGTTTCCATCAGACACATTCTTCACCACTTAGTACAGTACAATGGATGAATCTCAATGTATCGCTCCAACATAAATACAGACCCCACGCTGTATTAGGCTCCTAGATCAAATTGAATAATACATCTCTGGTGGTATACAATGTTGTTCTTGTAGTGTGAAGTATGTTAGTGCTTCAAGGAATAACGTCTTTTGAAACCATTCTTATATTATTTTTTTTTCTTACCACTTCGAATTATATTTTTTATTGCATTTTTTTTTAGATTAGGAAAATTTTATTCTACACAACCATAGTAATAAGAGTTGTTATAGTGTATTACTACCCAATAACAACAAAGGTTTTAAAGCACGTTCTGTAAATAGGTCCAAACACTAGATAATAATAACAAACAACAATAATTGTCTACGGTAAACAGTATAGTGATCTGACTTACTGCTTACTTAACAGTGTTGAGAACAAACAGTGTGTGTGTGTGTGTGGGTACGGTACAGCTGGCCACACACCGCTACACACCCACCCCCCTGGACACACACACACACACACACACACACACACACACACTGGACAGGCAGCACAAATCACCATAATAAATTTATTGGGTTCAATCTATTTTTTAAGGTTAATTTATTAATTTGTTTCCTTCCTCTTCATTCACCTTCCACTCCTTCCTCCCCTCCTTCCTCCCCTCCCCCTCTCCCTTCTCACCCCCAACCCCCCTCCCCCCAACTCGCCTGGTCATCATGAAGCACCCCCTCCCCAACTCACCTGGTCATCATGAAGCACCCCCTCCCCCAACTCACCTGGTCATCATGAAGCACCCCCTCCCAACTCACCTGGTCATCATGAAGCACCTCCCTCCCCCAACTCACCTGGTCATCATGAAGCACCTCCCTCCCCAACTCACCTGGTCATCATGAGCACCCCTCCCCCAACTCACCTGGTCATCATGAAGCCCCCCCCTCCCCATACCTGGTCATCATGAAGCACCTCCTCCCCAACTCACTTGGTCATCATAAGCACCCCTCCCCAACTCACCTGGTCATCATGAAGCACCCTCCTCCCCATTCACCTGGTCATCATGAAGCACCCCTCCCCCAACTCACTTGGTCATCATGAGCACCTCCCTCCCCAACTCACCTGGTCATCATGAGCCACCCTCCCCAACTCACCTGGTCATCATGAAACACCCCTCCCCCAACTCACCTGGTCATCATGAAGCACCCCCTCCCCCAACTCACCTGGTCATCATGAAGCACCCTCCTCCCCAATTCACCTGGTCATCATGAAGCACCCCCCCTCCCCCAACTCACCTGGTCATCATGAAGCACCCCATCCCCAATTCACCTGGTCATCATGAAGCACCTCCCTCCCCAAATCACCTGGTCATCATGAGCACCTCCCTCCCCAACTCACCTGGTCATCATGAAGCACCCCCTCCCCAACTCACCTGGTCATCATGAAGCACCCCCCTCCCCAACTCACCTGGTCATCATGAAGCACCTCCCTCCCCAACTCACCTGGTCATCATGAAGCACCCCCCTCCCCCCAACTCACCTGGTCATCATGAAGCACCATCTTGAACTTGTCAAAATAGAGCCACCTCTTGGCATCCTTCGAGTCCAGATCGTGGTAAGTGTCCCGAGCGGTGAAGCCGAGGGGTGGAAGGCGCCCTCGGGAGTCAACAACACGATGGTAGGGGTCTTCTGGTTCTGTACTCCTGGATCACCACCTGCAGGAAACACACGCCATTAGAAAGAGGTAAAGAGACACCATAAAACAATTATATATAGAGAGTTTGTTGCACCGTTATAATTTTATGTTTAGTTACGCCATTAGCAACACATGAAGTTAGTTGTACCATTATAATTAGATAGGTGATGTTACGCCATTATAAACATGTGTAGTTACCCCATTATACACAAATGAAACGGAAGAAGAGATGAGGAGAAGTTATTATATAAGGAAGGAGGAGGAGGGAGGGAGGAGGAGGAGGAGGAGGAGGAGGAGGAGGAGGAGGAGAGGTGAGGAGGAGGAAGGAGGAGGAGAGAGGAGGAGGAGGAAGAAGGAGGAGGAGGTGGTGTTAGGAGAAGGAAAGGGAGGAAGAGGAAGAGAGGAGGAAGAAGGAGGAGGAGGGGTAGGAGAAGGAAGGGGAGGAGGAGGAGGAGGTGGTGGAGAAGGAGGAGGAGGAAGAGGAGGAGGGGAGGAGGAGAGGAGGAGGAAGGGGAGGAGGAGGAGGAGGAGGAGGAGGAGGAGGAGGAGGGAGGAGGAGGAGGAGGAGGTGGTGTTAGGAGAAGGAAGGGAGGAGAAAGGGAAGAGGAGGAGGAAGAAGGAGGAGGAGGAGGGGGAGGAGAAGGAAGGGGAGGAGGAGGGAGGAGGGGGAGAAGGAGGAGGAGGAAGAGGAGGAGGAGGAGGAGGAGGAGGAGGAGGAGGAGGAGGGAAGGGGAGAGGAGGAGGAAGGAGGAGGAGGAGGAGGAGGAGGAGGAGGAGGAGGAGGAAGAGGAGGAAGGAGGAGGGAAGAGGAGGAGGAGGAGAAGGAGGAGGAGGAGGAGGAGGAGGAGGGAGGAGGAGGAGGAGGAGGAGGAGGAGGATGAGGAGGAGGTGGTGAGGAGGAAGGGGAGGAAGAGGAGGAGGAGGAGGAGGAGGAGGTGGTGTTAGGAGAAGGAAGGGGAGGAAGAGGAGGAGGAGGAGGAGGGAGGAGGTGGTGTTAGGAGAAGGAAGGAGAGGAAGAAGAGGAAGAGGAGGAGGAAGAAGAAGGAGGAGGAGGAGGTGGTGTTAGGAGAAGGAAGGGAGGAAGAGGAGGAGGAGGAGGAGGAGGAGGAGGTGAGGTTAAGGAGGAAGGGAGGAAGAGGAGGAGGAGGAGGAGGAGGAGGAGGTGGTGTTAGGAAGGGGGAGGAAGAGGAGGAGGAGGAGGAGGAGGAGGGAGGTGGTGTTAGGAGAAGGAAGAAGGGGAGGAAGAGGAGGAGGAGGAGGAAGTGGTGTTAAGGAGAAGAGGAGGAAGAAAAAAATAGCAAATAGAGTGAGGAAGGAGGAAGAAGTGGTATTAGGAGGGAGTAGGGAGGAGGAACAGGAGGAAGCGACATTGAGTCAATAGTGTTGCTGGTGTGGGGGGTGGGGGGTCGGGGGTGGTTGGGGGTGGAGGGTGGTTGGGGGGTGGGGGTGGGGGGTGGTGTTGTGATGATGAATTAACACAACTTCTTCATCTCCGTCAACACCATCATCACCTTGTTACCCTTCCACTCTCCTTCCTTCCCTCTATCTCTCTCTCTCCCTCCCTCCCTCCTTCCTTCCCCACCTCCTCCCCCCCCCTCTCTCCCCCCTCCCTTCTCTCTCTCTCTCTCTCTCTCTCTCTCTCTCTCTCTCTCTCCATTTTCCTCCCTCCTTCCCTTCTTCAAACTGTTCCATTTAGGCATGCCATCATCCCTTCCCATCAGGTTTTGTCAGATGTTTAATTAGGTCAGTGTATTGTAGCTCAGCAGGTGTGAAGGCTGGGGTGGCGCCACGCAGTATAATGTAATGTTGTAAGGAGCAACTTATGACATCTGTCGCAACGCTTACAAGGCTCACATAAAGATTACTCACCCTAGCTTACTTCACCTCGTGATTAAACACCTAACATAACCTAACCTAACCTAACCTAACACTAACGCTAACCTAACACTAACACTAACCCTAACACTAACTCTAACCTAACCTAACACTAACGCTAACCTAACCTAACACTCACTACCTCAACACTCAGCTAACCTAACCTAACCTAACCTAACACTAACGCTAACACAACCTAACCTAACCTAACCACACCAACCAACACAACCCTCCCACGCTCCAACCTACCACCTACCTAACCCACCCCACACCTAACCTAACCTCCTCTCCCTACCTACCAACCTAACCTACTCCACCACGCTACCTACCTAACCTAACCTAACGCTAACCTAACCTAACCTAACCTAACCTAACCTAACCTAACCTGACGGAGTGCGTTCGTAATCTTTTCCGACTCACAACACGACGGAGGTACGAGTGTCTCTCTAGCGGTGGTGTACCAGAGTCCATGGTTTACATCACGTGTGGCCATGAAGGGGGTGCCACGCAGTGCAAGCACACTCAGTAGTGCTTATCCAGAGGCACTGAGGAGGAGAAGCCGTCCTTGAGTCGTTTCTCTTTGTTGCTCAGACGTCCTCCTTCACCGCCTCCTCCACTACTCTCTCTCTGAATCCCTCGGTGAGCTGGAGAAAGCAGACCTACACCTCCTGCCGAAGGCCTTCACACACAACACCCTCTCTTACCTTCCTTCCCCGACATCACACGTCTTACATAAACAAGACGGTCATCGAGAAGACACTAATTATAGAGCTTCTTCGTCACTACCATCACTACGCCCGTGTGTGTATGGCTGGTGTAGGGGGAGAGGAAGGGAAGGAAAGGAAGGAAGAGAAAGGAAGGAGAGGGAGGGAGGAAGAAAGAAGAACTAGGAGTAAGAGGAGACGGGGAAGGAAAGGAAAAAGGGGAAGGAGAGGGGATAGGAGGAAGGGAAGTAGAGGAAACGCTAGCCACAACATGGTACTGGTGGGCGATGGGCCGTGATGGGTGGTGAGAGAGAGAGAGAGAGAGAGAGAGAGAGAGAGAGAGAGAGAGAGAGAGAGAGAGAGGAATGCTGACGGGTTAAATCTAAAAGTATTGAGAGAACAGAACAGAGAGAGACAGGTAGACGTGACCCATGTGCCACCCACCACCTCCACCTGGGCTGTGATTATCTCTTCACTAAGGTTCTCACAGTCTCCCTCTTGTCTCCTCTTGTCTCCTGTCATCGTGTACACAGAACCATCTATCTCACTGGAGTTTTAGTGTATTTATGTATGTATGTATGTATGTATGTATTAACCTAGAATACGAGCTTAAAGGCCCTATAGTTGTTGAAGCATATTAGTACATTATAACCTAAACAGTTAGTGTGTAGTTTCATCTTGTGGTGTAAACAAGGCGCTAATTGCACCTCTTAATCCCTCCAGTTCTCGAAGGCAACGAATCTGAGGTTTTATTGGTTGGTCGTCAATTTGTGTTGTGATTGGGTGGAGAGGGGATCAGAACCTAACCAATCATGGCTCGGTCTTCATGATAAGTACCCGGATTACTCAGACATTGGCGCGTTCAAGTTTCACATTGACTGACTGACGATGCGTAAAACGTATCTAACCGACTCACTTTCCCTGTGACACAAAGTTGACGGCCAGAATGTTATCGGTGCTGCACTCTGTCAGCGCCTCAACTCTCATGCCCTTCACCCGTTCCCCCGCTACATCCTGGCAGGCCCCTACACCTCCTACAGGTCCCTCTCACCCGTCACCCTTCCTGATCAAATATCCCTCCTCCTACAGACAGGCCTGGTACCTGACATTTAAGGGCCTACCACACATCACCATAAACAGATAACCCTGGACAGTCTCCCTTAATGTAAACCTGTCCATGATTCACTGTTTGTAACTTACTAGTACAATCATGGCTCCTCAGGTACTCAACACTCGGCATCATTCACTGTCAGACACCTGTAATATTCCGCGTCACCTCACACAGGACACAAGGAGGTACCCAACACACTAGCACCCTCGCATACTTGGGGGAATATTGGTAATCTAGAACTGTACCGTAGTAAAATATTATCTTCTCTTATCTAGGAAATAAAAGGAGCTGTGACGTAAGAATCCTTGTGAATCCAAATCCATGACAGTGTAAAGAAAAACGCCTTCACTTGTCAATAAACTTAAAGAGAGAGGATCACACACGGCCCCTAGGAGATATAATAAGAAACTTTTTTTTGTTTAGAAATTTTTCACTTCCTCTCCAGCGAGTACCATCTTCTACATTGTTGCTTCATTCGCCTTGTCAGCGGTGAGACGCAGAATTATTGGTTCGTGACTGACGGTGGCTGTCAGTGACGAGCGTAAGTTCCTCGTACTTGTAAAAAACCTAGAATCACAGAGACCCGCACGTCCTCCTCCCTTCTCCTACACCTCCACGTCCTCCTACTTCCTCCACCTCTTTCCTTCCTCATATCAGTGTGTCTAATCGTTCTGGGAAACTTGATGTGAGAGTCGTGGAGAATCTGGAGACCGTGTGTGTGTGTGTGTGTGTGTGTGTGTGTGTGTGTGTGTGTGTGTGTGTGTGTGTGTGTGTGTGTGAAAGAGAGAGAGAGAGAGAGAGATCCAAAAGTAACCAAATGTCAACCCTACACCCTAATACGAACCCTTTATTAGTGCAGCTCATCCCATCAACACAATATTCAAATTATACTTGAGTTACCCACTCCTCTTACCCGTTTTCTCCTTTCGTTTTCTATCACGTGAAAATATAGATAAACACAAATACTCATAAAAATAAACAAAGTCTACAAACACAGACGCTCCTTGGATCAAGTTTTAAGTGATATCTATTTACCGTTCGTGAGCTGCAGCCGAAGATGATTTATTTCACGATTATTATGACCTTGAACTTTGACCTTTCACGGAGCTGGGAGGGAAAAAACAAGTTTCCACGATTTCCACATCCAGCCTGACGAGTATGGTGGGTCCAGAGCTCCAACCTTTACTGCGCTGGAACACTTGACTGGCTGAGCTGACACACGCACACAGTCTGACACAAACGGACTGACACACACACACACACACACACACACACACACACACACACACACACACACACACACACACACACACACACACACAAAGGCTAACAAACAAAAGCACACGGGCAGAAACATACACAAATAGGATAACACAAACACACGAACGCTAACAAACCAACGTACAGTACTTATCCTAATCACGGACCGCGTAATAAATAAGTCACCCCTCTTCCCTTATATACAAACACCTCCTCTTAATGTTACGTAAACTAACACCATTACACTAATTATCCCGTGGAGGTAATTATCGTTCTCCTCCTCTTCCTCTTCCTACTCTCCTACTCTTTCCTCCTACTACTCGTCCTTCCTCCTCCCTCTCCTCCTCCTCTTCTTCCTCTTTCTTCTCCTCCTTCTCATCCTTCCTCATCTCTCCTCTCCTCCTCCTTCCTCTCCTCCTCCTTCCTCTCTTCCTCCTTCCTCTCCTCCTCCTCACTCAGCGTAACAGTGGCGACACATTACCTCATAAAGAAATTAATTATTAATTATATGGGACGGTGTTACAGGTGTGGGGGGGGGGAGTGAGGGTGGAGGAGGAGGTAGTGAGGGTGGAGGAGAAGGTAGTGGGGGGTGGGAGGAGGGGAGGTAAGGAGGGGTGGAGGAGGAGGTAGGGAGGGGTGGAGGGGGAGGGTAGGAGGAGATGGAGGGAGGAGGTGAGGTGGAGGAGGTAGGGAGGTGAGGAGGAGGTAGTGAGGGTGGGGAGGAGGAGGTGGAGGGGAGGTGGAGGAGGAGGGGTGAGGGTGGAGGAGGAGGTGGGAGAGGGGTGGAGGGAGGGAGAGGAGGGAGGTAGTGGAGGGTGGAGGAGGAGGAGGGGGGGGAGGGAGGAGGGAGGGGTGGAGGAGGAGGTAGTGGTGGGGGAGGAGGTAGGGAGGGGGTGGGAGGGAGGTGGAGGAGGGGAGGGGGGGAGTGGGAGGAGGAGGTAGTGAGGGGTGGAGGAGGAGGTAGTGAGGGTGGAGGAGAAGGTAGTGAGGTGGGAGAGGGGTGGAGGAGGAGGAGGAAGGGTGTAGGAGGGTGGGAGGGAGGAGGTAGGGGGTGGAGGGAGGAGGAAGGGAGGGGTGGTGAGGGTGGAGGAGGAGGTAGTGAGGGGGGAGGAGGAGGTGTGAGGGGTGGGAGAGAGGGAGGTAGGGGAGTGAGGGTGGGAGGAGGAGGTAGGGAGGAGGAGGAGGAGGTAGTGAGGTGAGGGGGAGGAGGAGGTAGGAGGGTGGGAGGGAGGGAGGTAGGAGGAGGTAGTGAGGGTGGAGGAGGAAGGTAGGGAGGGGTGGAGGAGGAGGTAGGGGGGGAGGGGAGGAGGTAGGGAGGGGTGGAGGAGAGGTAAGGTGAGAGTAGGGTGAGGGTGGAGGAGGAGGGTGGAGGTGGAGGTAGGGGAGGGGGAGGGAGGAGGGTAGGGGGGGAGGTGGGGAGGGGGTGGAGGAGGGAGGTAGTGGAGGGGTGGGAGGGGAGGAGTAGGGAGGGGTGGAGGAGGAGGGTGAGGAGGAGGTAGGGAGGGTGGGAGGAGGAGGTAGGGGTAGGTGGGGGTGGAGGAGGGAGGTAGTGGGGTGGGAGGGGGAGGGGAGGAGGTAGGGGTGGGGAGGAGGTAGGGGGTGGAGGAGGGGTAGGGGGGGGAGGAGGGGGGGGGGAGGGAGGAGGTAGGGAGGGTGGGAGGAGGAGGTAGGAGGGAGGAGGTAGTGAGGGGTGGGGGAGAGGAGGAGGAGTGAGGTGAGGTGGAGGGAGGAGGTAGGTAGGGGGGTGGGGGTGGGAGGGAGGAGGTAGTGGGGGGGGGGAGGGGTGGAGGAGGGAGGGAGGAGGTGGGGGGTGGAGGGAGGAGGGGGAGGAGGAGGTGAGGGTGAGGAGGAGGTAGGAGGGGGAGGAGGAGGTAGGAGGGTGGAGGGGAGGAGGGTAGGGAGGGGTGATGGAGGAGGTAGTGGGAGGGTGATGGAGGAGGTAGGAGGGTGGAGGAGGGAGGAGGAGGTGGAGGGTAGGGAGGTGTGGGAGGTAGGAGGGTAGTGGGGGGGTGGAGTGGGGTGGGAGGAGGAGGTAGGAGGGGTGGGAGGAGGAGGTAGTGAGGGGTGGGAGGAGGAGGTAGTGAGGGGTGGAGGAGGGAGGTAGTGAGGGGTGGAGGAGGAGGTAGTGGGGGGAGGAGGAGGTAGGTGAGGGTGATGGGGAGGTTGGGAGGAGGAGGTAGTGAGGGTGGAGGAGGAGGTAGTGAGGGTGGAGGAGGAGGTAGTGAGGGTGGAGGAGGAGGTAGTGAGGGTGGAGGAGGAGGTAGTGAGGGTGGAGGAGGAGGTAGTTACGCTCTACTAAATGCCATAGTTTTGTCACGGCATTTAAGCTTCCTGCGTGGTTTACTGCACCTACCACAACTACAACTATTACCACCATAACTATTGTTAATACTATAACTACTACTACCACTACTACCACCACCACTACCACCACCACTACTACCACTACTACCACCACCACTACTACCACCACCACTACCACCACCACTACTACCACTACTACCACAACTACTACTGCTGTTAGCTTATGATAGAGAAGAGAGAGAGAGAGAGAGAGAGAGAGAGAGAGAGAGAGAGAGAGAGAGAGAGAGAGAGAGAGAGAGAGTACCAACACTACACAATATAGAACAATAACAAATTCTCTCTATCTCTCACCATCTTATCTCTTTATTGTCTCAAAAAACTAATGTAGTTCCCTTTCCTTGTTTAAGTTAACATAAGTGTAAAGAGAAATGAGGTGGTGTCACATGGTACTGGTGTCACATGGTACTGGTGTCACATGGTACTGGTGTCACATGGTACTGGTGTCACATGGTACTGGTGTCACATGGTACTGGTGTCACATGGTACTGGTGTCACATGGTACTGGTGTCACATGGTAGTGGTGTCACATGGTACTGGTGTCACATGGTACTGGTGTCACATGGTACTGGTGTCACATGGTACTCACCCTCCCACTTCTTCATCATGTGGACGCTGTCAGGGTCTCTGGTGAAGCTGAAGGCATACCCGCTGTAGGTAGTGCCGAAGTCGATGGCCACCACCACGAAGTGCGTGGGCGGGCGTGGGTCCAACACGGCGCCGCCTAAGCTCGCGCCCACGTTGGTGCAAGGATCACCCACCACCGCCACGCCCACCTCTCCCTCCAGCACGCCCGCGCCGCGACAGGAGTGTAAACTGGAGGTGCGGGAGTGGTTGAGGGAGGAGGACGTGGAGGGCGTTTGGGTGATGGTGTGGGCGGGGGTGTTGGGTGACGGGGGCGGGGAGTGGGTGTCGTCGGCGGTGAGAGTACCACAGGGGCTGGTAGCACCACTCTCGTGCCCACTGTCACTGTCCCCGGGTGCCACCGTGGGAGACCCAGACAGCCTCCTGGTGGGGTTGAGGGACGAGTGTCGAGGCCCGCCGGCGGCCGTCATGGTGGGTGGTGAAGGTGTGGGGGGCGTGTACTGCACGCCGGGGTAGTAGGCGTGCATGGACACGGAGGAGTGAGGCACAGTGCGGGGGGCGCCCACATACACCTCCTCGATGAGGTTGAAGTTCTCCATGACGCCCTCTCTGGTGGGCTGCTGGTGGGCCTGGTGTGACCCACCATCCTGGCCTCTCCCGCCCACTGTGGTAATCGGCCGCCCACTGCCCTCCCCGGCACTGTACCCACCTGCCGACACTCTAGCTGGGTCTGCTGGCTGCCTGCTGGGGTCTGCCCCTCCCTCGGTCACTCGGTTGTGGTTATAACTCACAAAGTTACTGTAGGCGGCGTGACCCCTCGCCCCCGTGTACTCGGGGGTGTCAACGTGAGGGTCCCCGACGGCGTGGCTGACGGAGTATGTGTGAGGAGAGACGGGGGTGTGGGCTGGTGTGAGGTCTGGGCCAGACTGGCGACGCTCCACCACACTGGAGGCGTGAGACCGCGCAGGCGAACTTTCACCAGAGGAGCTGCTGATCCCTGCCAGGGACGCATCAAGCTCGTCCAGCGCCGCCGCCACATCTTCCACGTCGCTCCGCGTGGGCGTGTGACTCCTGGTAGGCGTGTGGCTCCTGTTAGGCGTATAGCTTCTAGTGGGCGTGCGACTCCTAACTGGTGTGTAGCTCCTGACGGGGACTCTGGGTGGTGAACCTGGCCGCCTGAAGTAGACCCCTGCAGCTCTCAGTTCCTCCTCCAGCTGCGAGGGTCGCCTGGGGTCCTCCGGCGACGGTGAGCGACTCCTGAACTCCTCTGGGGGAGGTGGGCGTGGTGGTGGGTGGTGCTGGCGTGAGGGTGTGGCTGTGGGACCCAGCATCTCGGTACAGAAGCCACGGAAGTTGTTTCTGATGAGGGCGGTGGGCGCCGACACGTGGTGGTTGTAACACTCGTACTCCGCCTCCAACACATCTGTAACACAAGGAAACACAAGGATCAGTGTACACATGAGACGGCATAATGATACTTGACACACGCACACACAACACACACACACGTGACACATGACACCCCACATGTCACATACCACACCACTCAAAAAAGGGATACAGGATACAGTCTCCACCAATAAAGAATAACTCTTACATGAAACATATCAAGTGTGTGTAATAATAATAATAATAATAATAATAATAATAATAATAATAATAATAATAATAATAATAATGATGATGATGATGATGATGATGATGATGATGATGATGATGATGATGATGATGATGATGATGATGATGATGATGATGATGATGATGATGATGATGATGATGATGATGATGATGATGATGATGATGATGATGATGATGATGATGATGATGATGATGATGATGATGATGATGATGATGATGATGATGATGATGATGATGATGATGATGATGATGATGATGATGATGATGATGATGATGATGATGATGATGATGATGATGATGATGATGATGATGATGATGATGATGATGATGATGATGATGATGATGATGATGATGATAATAATAATTTTTTCGCCACTTTTCCAGTATTAGTATAGAAGGAAACCGGGGACTGGGAAACCTGTGATGTTTGGTAGTGAGGGTCACACTGGATAACACCCTTCTAACATGTGTCCCGGTCAAGCAGGATTCGAACCCATGACATATAAATGAGAGGTACAGGGTTTACCACTGTTAAATACGAGTCACTACAATAATATTACCATCCTCTACAACTTGATAATAACACGAATTAATACTTTTAAAAAATACGATCTATCCTAACACAATCAAGACCCACACAATGACCTTTGAACTTCGACCTTCAGCGGGCGAGTCATGCCAGTGCCCCAGATCTTAAGACAAGAAGCATGCTAATAATGGCCGCTTGTCCATACCTTCAACACGTGGTTGTCCAAAGTCCCGGGAACACGTTGGGTGATCGTGTGAACAAAAGGTTAACAGGTGGATAAGGAAGTGAGTAAAGAAGTGAGTAAGGGTATTAATGAGGACATAGGTAAAGTCTTGAGTGAGTGAATGAGAGAGTGAGTAAGGAAGTGAACCAAACGAGAGAGAGAGAGAGAGTCAATGTTTACGCTTGGGTGACGTGACCCCATCAAGATCCCTGCCACGTCAGAGTTCTACATCTTCATAAACTGATACAGTGATTGATATAGTGATACAATGGTACAGTGGTGCAGGAATACATTGGTACTCTTTTATCTCTCCTAACCTTTGAGACTAAGGCATTGAGAAGAATCTTGAACATAAGATGGCGTGATCGTATTAGAAACGAGACGGTAAGAGAAGTCACAAATGTTCCCTATACTGATGAATGGCTGATGGAGGTGGATGGGGCACGTTCTGAGTGTGGGTCTGGATAGAGTATTGAGAGAGGCGGTCGAGTGGAGAGTGGACGGAACGAGAAGAGGAAGACCAAGGCCTACATGGGTCCCAACTATAAGAAGGGAGACGGAGGACGAGCTAAGCACAGCCATGGAAAGAGCTCAAGAGCGGAATGGCTGGAGCGAGTATGTGGAGGCCCTTTGCGTCACACGGCGTTGGAGGCGGTAACTGTACTATATACTACCAGTTTAGTACAGTCAGTTAGTCGGTAAATACAAACTAGTACAAGTCGTGTCCTCAGAATACAAAAAAAGCGTCACATACAAGCTTACAGTTACAGCAGTACAGTTCCTAAGCGTCGCGTCAAGGAACCTAACAAACTGTGTCGTCATCACTCACACTAACTGGCACGTGCGAGTGACTGTATCTATTCACTATTATACTTATCACCATCACCGCTAGGTCACCATCGTTCACCAGCAGTACACTCCTCGTCACCATCACCACATGTGTGTCACCATTACTCACTATCACCACACGTGCGTCACCATCACTCACTATCACCACACCCTCTTCACCATCACTCACCATCACCACACCCTCATCACCATCACTCACCATCACCATACCTTTATCACCATCACCACACGTGCATCACCATCACTCACCATCACCACACCCTCGTCACCATCACTCACCCTCACGACACGTGCGTCACCATCAATCACCATCACCACACCCTCATCATTATCACTCACCACCACACGTGACTCACCATCACTTACCATCACACGTGCTTCACCATCATCACACGAGCGTCACCATCACACACGCTTCACCATCACACACCATCACCACACGTATGTCACCATCTTCACCATCACCACACGTGCGTCACCATAACTCACCATCACAAGTGCGTCACCATCTCTCACCATCACCACACGTGCGTCACCATCGTTCACCATCACCATACGTGTGTCACCATCACTCACCATCACCACATGTGCGTCAACACCACTCACCATCACCACACGTGCGTCACCATCACATGTGCGTCAACATCACTCACTATCACCACACGTGCGTCACCATCACATGTGCGTCACCATCACTCACCATCACCACATGTGTGTCACCATCATCACATGTGCGTCACCATCACTCACCATCACCACACGTGCGTCACCATCAGCGGGACGGATGCATCACCAGGCACTACACGACACGACTACCTGGTGTGGGTAGACGGACACCTCCTTCCCTGCATCGCTCCAGTGAAAGTAGACCCATCCCCACACCCCATGTACCCCACACCCCATGTACCCCACACCCCATGTACCCCACCCCATGTACCCACACCCCATGTACCCCACACCCCATGTACCTCACACCCCATGTACCCCACACCCCATGTACCCCACACCCCATGTACCCACAACCATGTACCCCACACCCCATGTACCCCACACCCCATGTACCCCACACCCCATGTACCCCACACCCCATGCACCCCACACCCCATGTACCCCACACCCATGTACCCCACACCCCATGTGCACCCCACACCCCATGTACCCCACACCCCATGTACCCCACACCCCATGTACCCCACACCCATGTACCCCACACCCCATGTGCCTCACACCCCATGTACCCCACACCCCATGTACCCCACACCATGTACCCACACCCCATGTACCCCCAACCCATGTACCCCACACCCCATGTACTCACACCCCATGTACCCCACACCCCATGTACCCCACACCCCATGTACCTCACACCCCATGTACCCCACACCCCATGTACCCACACCCCATGCACCCACCCCCCACCCCATGTACCCCACACCCCATGTGTACCCACACCCCATGTACCCCACACCCCATGTACCCCACACCCCATGACCCCACACCCCATGTACCCCACACCCCATGCACCACACCCCATGTACCCCACACCCCATGTACCCCACACCCCATGTACCCCACACCCATGTACCCCACACCCCATGTACCTCACACCCCATGTGCACCCACACCCCATGTACCCCACACCATGTACCCACACCCCATGTACCCCCACACCCCATGCACTCACACCCCATGTACCTCCACACCCCATGTACCACCAACCTCACACCCCATGTACCACACCCCATGTACCCCACACCCCATGTACCTCACACCCCATGTACCCCACACCCCATGTACCCCACACCCCATGTACCCCACACCCCATTGTACCCCACACCCCATGTACCCCACACCCCATGTACCCCACACCCCATGTACCCCACACCCCATGTACCCCACACCCTGTACCCCACACCCCATGTACCCCACACCCCATGTACCACACCCCATGTACCACCATGTACCCCACACCCTATGCACTTACACCCCATGTACCACACTCCCACACCCATGTACCCCACACCCATGTACCCCACACTCCATGTACCCCACACCCCATGTACCCCACACCCCATGTACCCCACACCCCATGTACCCCACACCCCATGTGTACCACACCCCATGTACCCCACACCCCATGTACCACACCACCCCAACCCCACACCCCATGTACCCACCCCATGTACCCCACACCCCATGTACCTCACACAGAACCAGTTGTGTAGTTGGCTCAGCTGGGTGTTGTCCAGTGATGCCCCGGAGGGTGTAGTGAGTGGTGCCCCGGAGGGTGTTGTGAGTGGTGCCCCGGAGGGTGTAGTGAGGGTGCCCCTGGAGGTAGTGAGTGGTGCCCCGGAGGGTGTTGTGAGGGTGCCCCGGAGGGTGTTGTGAGGGTGCCGGAGGGTGGGAGTGGTGCCCCGGAGGGTGTTGTGAGTGGTGCCCCGGAGGTGTAGTGAGTGGTGCCTGGAGGGTGTAGTGAGGGTGCCCCGAGGGTGTAGTGAGTGGTGCCCCGGAGGGTGTAGTGAGTGGTGCCCCTGGAGGGTGTAGTGAGTGGTGCCCGGAGGGTGTTGTGAGGTGGTGCCCGGAGGGTGTAGGGTGGTGCCCTGAGGGTGTTTGAGGGTGCCCTGAGGAGGGTAGGGAGGGGACCTGGAGGGTGAGGAGTGGTGCCCCGAGGGTGAGTGAGGGTGCCCGGAGGGTGTAGTGAGTGGTGCCCCTGGAGGGTGTAGGAGTGGTGCCCGGAGGGTGTTGTGAGTGGTGCCCCGGAGGGTGTTAGAGTGGTGCCCGGGGGTGTAGTGAGTGGTGCCCCGGAGGGTGTTAGGAGTGGTGCCCCGGAGGGTGTAGTGAGTGGTGCCCCGGAGGGTGTTGTGAGGGTGCCCCGGAGGGTGTAGTGAGGAGTGCCCCGAGGGTGTAGTGAGGGTGCCCGGAGGGTGTAGTGAGTGGTGCCCCGAGGGTGTGGTAGTGAGTGGTGCCCCGAGGGTGTTGTGAGTGGTGCCCCGGAGGGTGTTGGAGTGGTGCCCCGGAGGGTGTAGTGAGTGGTGCCCCGGAGGGTGTTAGAGTGGTGCCCCGGAGGGTGTTGAGTGGTGCCCCGAGGGTGTAGTGAGTGGTGCCCGGAGGAGGAGGGTGTTCTGAGGTGAGTGGTGCCCGGAGAAAACGGTAACACCTTTCGATCACCTACAGCTCAGTACAG